AATAATAATAATAATAATAATAATAATAATAATAATAATAATAATAAAAAGGAAGTGAAAGGTGAAGGAAAATAGCAATAATATTCTGATGTGTCTCTTGCTAAACAGTATTTTCTGCCCAGGGAGAATTCTGGTTTAATTCCTTAGACACTGAAATTGAATACCCAAATACCTCCTTTTATTTATTTAAAATAGCTGATCCTGCGTTCATCAAGCAAAGGTTTTTTACTTGGCTGGGCAAGGAAACTTTTGTTTAAGGAAAGAAATGATATAATTTTCCTCAGTGAGGTACTCTGAGTTGCTTCAAAGCTTTAATTATCTATTATTGGAAATGTTGGAGAAGGCAAAACAGCTGCTTTACTTTCTCTTGGAAGATGGGAAGCAGGATCTCTGCAAGCTTCAAAACGGTGCTATATATTAGCAATAATTGAAACATCTTTTGGAAGAGCTGCAAAACCATTGTTTCCATATCTAATTACATATTGGTGGTTTAATTACTATTACTATCACTTCAAGAACAGTGATAGTAATAATTAAATTTTTATTCTTTATTTTTACAGGCATGAATGATGTCAAATATTCTATTCTGTAATGGATGCTGTTTCAGTTGTACTTATTATGAATTCACTTTTTCTGATATATATACAATTTTAAAAAAATATTCTATCTATTCCAAAATATTTTTTAAAAAACCTATTGAAACATGATTATGTATGCTGGTTCAACAATTTTTGAGTAGATGTATAAAAATCATTGCTTCCTGGTATACATTATTTTATACCATTGTAATGTAGAAGACAAGTAGTAATATGTATAGCAGCAGTTATAACATTGTTTTTATTATAATGGATATAAACATAACTGTTCCCAAAATTTTACAGCCATGACTAAAACATGATGATAGTTATATTTGACACAAGGCTGTAAACGGGAAACATGAACTACTTCGGCTTATAATATTTATATTCTTAATTTTCCAAGCTTGAGAGGTGTGTCACGTGTATGTGTCTCTGTGAAAATTAAAAAGATAAAATGCTTTCTGTCAAATGGAAAGGGTAATTCCATCAAATAATTTTCAGTAAGTGATTTGACAGTTTTATGTAACATCTGACTTAGTAGTAATTTTGAAATGGGCAAACTCAAAATCATAACAGAAAATCACTGTAGATTGAAGGTGATTTTAGAATGAACTTTTATTATTCAAAAAAACCCTTATGAGAATATTCAAAACTATCACTATGGAAATTTTTCATAATAATATTTTATTTCCTCTTTGAAGAAATTGTGTTTTAACTATAGTATAATAAGGGAAATAGTATTTAAACAAAAAAGATGACTAATAAAAACAAAGAAGGCTCAAGCATCATATTGATTTGATTTCCTAATTTAACAGAACTTTTGAGAGTATGATTATTCAACACGATTGTCTAAAGCTCTAGCTTAGTAGCCCTTAATAGATAAATCAAGACAGAGTAGTGCAAGCTGCTGGTTCCTAAAGGAATGCATTAGTTCAAAGCAAAAAATGTAAGCATAATGTTGTTCAGAAGGCCAATTCCTTTTCTATTAATTCATTCTTAGAAATATGAAGATAGTTTTGTTTGGCATTCAGATATGTATACCTAATGTGAATTTTTGAAGGCACGCTCTGAATGTATTGTAGAAAATATATGTGGTTTTATATCACTTGCATTTTACTAGCATTCAACTGTGTGCTGGATATCACTGGCACATACACTTCATGTATCATTTATCATTTGAAAACCACATGAAAAAGTTTCCCCATTTTCAATATTGTGAGAGTAATGTTCCTAATGGAGTGAAGTTGTCAGTATAGTTTTTAAAGAGGATGACTTCATAATAAAATAGATCTGTCACTTCTAGCTTTATTTAGCTGACAATAATAGAGGAGAATATGAAGTTCTCTTTATATAGGATTATATGTATTTGTTGCACAGCAGTGAGAAAGTAAGCAAGGCAATTTTTGCTACATAATTTGAAAAGGAGTGCTCTTTTTTTTTAAGATGGTTGTTCATTCTTAAAAGATGTTATTATATTTTATTAGAAATATTATTATTTATTATTAGAAAGTATTATTAAACTATTATTAGAAACTATTATTAGAAAGTATGCATAAAAGTGTTAACTAAGTATTTCTATTTTTTATACTTTCTCAAAGCAGCTTGGTCTTCTTAGTGTCGTTAGTTTGACTTTGGTGCTGTCATCTTAAAGTAGTAAAGAAGAAAATTTAAATTAAATTCTAATCAAGACCATCCATAAACACTGCTGAGTTAATAGTGTTTTAAAATCTCATCAAATGATAATAAAGTATATACACTTATATACGAAATTTCCTGTGTAAAAAATATAAAGTTTGTTGGGCATTTTAAAATCCCTATTATATTAAAGAGTTAAAGTATTAATATATGTGTGTATGAATGAGAGAGAGAGGGGGAGACATTTTATAAATATAAAGTTTACAATTTAATATGTGAATGTGGAAAAATGAATTCATGTATTAAGAGTGTTTATTTTGCTTTTACCCTAGTCTCGGAAAGGGAGTGATCCAGACAAAGAGAAGAAAGGATTGGAGAACAGAGCAGATAGTATTGGAAGCGGTCGTGCAATCCCAATTAAACAGGTACAACCTGTGTATGTGTGAATGATTTCCTGTATTTGGAGGTAAACCTTAGGTCTTAAACACCATGATGCTTGACTTCTGTGCCAAGATTTGTTTGATGTGCCGTGGTGATGAATGTTGAAGTCACTCACTTGACATCAATTAGAAGAGGTTCCTATGTGAATTAAAATAAGATCATTAGAATAAGAAGAGGGAAAATGTGACAACAGGCCTAATGAAGTGCAGTTTGCTGGCCTGCATATGGAGTGTGCTTCTAGGCTGAGCTGGCTTCAAAGTCTGTCTTTGTAGAAAATGCTTTGATTGGACCGTTTGCTGCCAGTCTACAAGGATAGATCAGATCAATGTACAAGAGCCCCTTGTGATCACAGAAATAGCCCGATGTGGCCCTCATTTGCTGTTGCAGAAGGACATCTGAACATTGTTCCAGATTGATTTGCAGCAATGAGGCAGTTAGATTTGAGTCAGCTGTGTACTTTTATTTGTAGTTTGCTAATAAAGGAATTGTAACTTTGTTTGGATGTTTTTATATAAGCAAACATTTAGAGCTGTAATAGCTGATCTTAATTAAACATCCCTATTATAATATAGGATTTCAAACTAAGGAATTCCTTTTGTTTGTTTGACTACTAGTATAACTGCATTAATGCCACATTCCTAAGATGCTGAATATGAAAAGAATTGCATATCAAAATTCTGCTTGGATCTTATGAAATCATGTTTAACTGTTCTAACACTTAAAACAGTTTTCAATTTTTGCATCTCATACTCAGATCAGTAATAGTGAAATATTGAAGTCATATCCCTTTGTTTTCTGTTTTCTAGTTTTAAAAGCTTCCCATGATAAAGAAATTGAGCCAATCATTCCTACACAATTTCCATAGGAGAGAAGTGCAGAACTTCTAGTTGTAGTGATATGCTAAATATTATCAAAGATTTTATAAAAGATATCTTATTTTTTGCTTATATACTAAAGAAAGATTGGAATGAAAATCTTTATAAAATTTGTTTATTAAAAAGTAATGAACAAATTTATGAAACATCTGGTTCCATGGCCATTTATCTTCAATAATGTATATAAAACTTAAATGCAAGCTGTTGAGGAGTAATAGTGGAAGGGAGATATAGTTTTAAGTCCATGTTTTTTTCCAGAGTTTTCTATTGTGTAATACCGAATGCTGGATTAGAGAGGCTCCTGGCTTGAACCAGCATGGTTCTTCTACCTATTCCTGTTCTTAGGCTATGTTGTACAGTTCGTTAGAAAATTCATTCTGTGATTATAGGAACGCCTAAGCAGCCTGAGGCTCATTACCAAAATTAGTTTTATTGTCAAAATCCACCAAGTATTTAGACTTTAAGGATCTGCATGGAGACAATAGTTAGGCAGTTCTCTAATGGCCTAAGTCTATCAAGGAAATAATGAATGGGTAAATTAAGGTATAAATCAGGAAATTTACCATAATTTCCCTATATCTGTAAAAAATGACTCATTCTGAGACCAACAATAATACTAATCTTTTCCTCTTTTTTCCTACTAACATATTACTGTTCTCTTTAATCAGTTCAGTTTACTCCCCATCCTTCAGTCTTTACAAGTAATATTTAAATTAATACAATACTGATTTTCACCTCAATTCAAAAGTACTAGCTGGCAGTTCCAGGGTCTGGGGTGTGTTTCCAATTGTAAGTGATGTAAATGTTTTCATCATTAAATATCCTTCACTTTTTTATTGTATGCTATATGGTTTGCCGTTATTTTTTATTTAAGCCAAGGCACTTCTTGCTTCAGAGACAGACATGTCTCTGATTAGATGCTGCCTACCCCTTGAGAGTTCTTGTTAAGTATAGTTATTAATTTGGCTGTATGTTATAATAAAATAAGAAAAGATATTCTGGTGTTTTTCTTCATCTCTAGATCGGAGGAAGATGATAAGCAATGTTAATCTGAATAGTACAAAATTTTAAGGCCAAATTTATTATGAAAACTGAAGAATTTAGAACTGTTAATCTGCATTCCTTATAAACATATGTAATTGTTATTGTTTTATGGAAGAATAAATGTCTAGAAAAGATTCCTAAAATTTCCTGCTGTATAAGAGCACACAAAGCACATGCTTTGTTTAGAATAACAAGTCTTTGATTTCCTATTTCCAACCTAGTATGGCATACAAAAAAAATACAGATATACAAAAAATAATTTAACATTGTCAACTATAAAACTGCGTTCATTTTGGAGATAGGTTATACAATGTCACAAACAAAATTGCTTTTACTATAAAATTATATGGTTTTATACTTTTATAATGCTAGCGTAAAATTATATACTGTAAAATTATAACCTTGATAGTAGATTAGCGGGGGTTTTCCTTCAGTATTAGAATATTTCAAAAACCAAGGCACCAGATATGTATGTATGCGTGTAAAATGTATTTAGGGATCAAGCCTCATGTACTGCAGAATATACTCATTAATGATAGTGTGACAAGTTTAGAGTAAGTGCTAGATACAAGTAAGTATATACTAGTATATACTAGTATCCCATCTGATCAAAACAATACTTTGTTTTTAAAAATGATTAAGTATGAAGTTGCAGCAGGATTTACTGCAATACAGTGGTATATGTTTCTTTTTAGCAAGAGGAAAAATGTAACTTACCAGTCATATTTCACAAGTACACTATGGCTAATGCTTGTACCATTTTGTTAGATTTAGACAAACAACCAAGTTAAGATAAGCAGAAAGGAAAAAATAGATGCGTGTGAAAGAAGTGAGACAACCAAAGTTTGGGAATCACTGATGGATGTATCTTCAGTAAAACAGTTAGTTAACAACCTTATTCCATAAATGTTAGATTTTCACCCAAAAAATAATTTGCCAGTTATCCCAGGATAAAGATGAGTTATTTATTTCCCCTCTATATTTTATTGGTATAACTGGAACATACTAATAACACTGAATTGAATACTATATGTAAAAGTGCAGAAAAGTGCCTGTTGACTCTTGACCTGTTCTGTTTCCACCAATGACAGTCTAGAATGCAAGTTTTGAAATTCTTGTGAATTTCATGTGGATTTTCCTACATCTGATAGAAAAGAGCTGATGTTTTTGAGCAGATAAATCATAAATAGTATTTAGTATGCAGACTCAATAAGGGTATTTTTAAATATTATTATTGCTAAGTAATTACATATCTCATTAAGTTATTTGTTTTACATCCCCATCTTTATTATTTTGATAAATAACTCAAGGCGATGAAAATATCCAACACACCTTCCTCCTGCTTTTTCTACACAACAGTAACTGTGTGAGGTGGGTTGGACTGAAAGTGTGTGACTAGTCCAAGGTCAACCACCTGGCTTTCATGGCTAAGGCAGGACCTGAACTCTCAATGTCATAGTTTCTAGCCTGGTGCTTTAACCACTAGACCACACTGACTCTAGTTTTTAAAAATATCTTAAAAATCAGTGTTCCTTTTTAAAACAATACTTTCTAATTTGTGTCAAACTTTCTAAAAAGGAGTGGAATGTTTCACTTATTCTAAGTACATATATGCCCAGTCTTCTTGGAGTTAGATGGCCTTAACAAGTACAATAAATAAATAAAAAACACAAGGTTTGTTTTTCAAGCAAGAGTCCTTTCAAACATCAGCATATTTTGGCAAGATATCTATATAAAGCTAAAAATCATATGGGAAATATCTGATTTCTACGGTTCGTGAATTAGGTTCATGTAGAACACTTAATTAATTTAACCAGTTTCTGGGTTCATAAACCAACCAAAGATGCTGGATTTCACATAGCATGCTAAAATATGAAGAAAATAGCCAACCTTAATTCCAACTAAGTTTGGAATCTTGAGTGGATGTAGCTTCTGTGTCTCTAAATTATGGTGTTACACAAATGTATTCGTGTACCAATTAGAGCTTGTTTAATGATCAGTTAGTCAGCAGTCATTCTAAGTTATGATAATCCCTCCTCCCAAAAGCTACTTATGACCACATTTCAAAGTTGCAGCAGCACCCTCACTGTTATTTGCCCTTATGACCGACTGTAGGGATGCTACAGTTGTTGGGCAGTTGTTGTGCAAGTACCAGTGGGGGCTTCCTGTATTTGAGTCTTCCAGCTGATAAATGAGGAAGGTCAGCATGCACTGGTAAGAGTGAGTTGTTCATATTTTTTCTGTATTCCCTCACTAGTGCATCTTGCCTGCAGTGCTACATGGTTCAGAACAGGAAGCCAGCAAGATCGGGTAGTTTTAATATATCCACTTATAATCCTCATAGTGTCATTGAGTCTGGTGTCTAACTTACTAGTATGGCAGCTGTTGAGCCATACAGGGACACAGTATTCTACTGTGGAATAGACCAACCTGTTGTGGTTAGCCGGCAGCAGGTGCGGACGGCTGAGGAGAGCGAGGACTCAGATGAGGGGCCAGGACTATTAGGGAGTGGACTGCTGCCTTCAGAGATTGTGGGGGCTGGCAGCAGCGATGAGGAGGTTCCCGAGCACCTGTGCCAAGTGCGCGTGCGCGCAGGGCTGCTCATAGAAAAGACCAGCTGCAGCAGCATGGGCGACTCAGGAGTAAAGCCGCAAGGTAATGACCCCTCCTTCAAGAAAATAAAAGCCAGCTGTGAATCAGACATTCTTTGCAGGAAGCAAAGACGTTTTGAAACTCGAGCCTCGTGGACATTGCAGTATCTTAGTTGGAATTTGAAGACTCTTGTGTTGTAAAATATTTCTAGGTAGCCTTATCTGTTATTTTTGGCAGCCTTGCACAGTTTTGGCGAGGCTCGTGATTATCAAAGTTAATTAGTTTGCAGCAGCCTTTCAACTGGGGATTCGTAAGAATCATTAAAAGGTTTCTGTTCCCTTTGGTTTGTGTTGGTTTTATTGGACAAGGGTTTGGGTCAGAACACAACTCTAGTGCTGATGACCTGAGGATGGCAGTTGAAGCTCTTCATTTAATTCCACATAATTTGTGGACTAAGTTGTTCCTAGTATTGG